TCAGCAATTATTCCCTGGTTCAGTTTTTTGGGGGGTGGGGAGCAAGATTCTGTGAAACCAGATCTAACCTGAGATCTGGGTACAGAGGATTTAATACATTATGTATCTATTAAGAATTTATAAGGGAAAAAAATGGGGAGACCCCTCAAAGAAGACCAAAGTACTCACAGGTCTAAGTACAGCAGCAATAATTAGGGGCACTGAAATTACCTTTTGTTTGGCTTCTTTGTAATTACTTTTAATAAATTACTCTGCCTCCCCCCATCACTAAAGTAAGTTGTCATCCAGAGGCTCAATCAGCACTCAGTTCAGAGCCATTCACAGACAGGGCTGGAGGGAGGGTCTGGGCGGTGGTGCCCCAGCTGTGACTCATTAGGATCCATAAAGCTTTTCTATGGAAATCAGGATCAGCCTAGGCCTGGTAAAGGAAGAGGGGCCACACAAATGCCAGCTAATCATGAATTCTTCACAGGACAACAGCACCCTCAAAAACGCAGGGGCACCGTGCCTGGGAATGGCCTTAGCTGCATGGCCTGCAGGCCAGAGCCCACCCTTCTGCTGGTGGAGGATGCCTCCTGCAAAGTAAAGGGACTCTCTCTTCAGCACTCTCCTAAGTCACTCTGGGCCATTTGGCGAAGTTTTGTGTATTGATGGCTCTGGAGTCAGGCTTAACTCACTGTCTGCTCTATGGGTTCAAGAAAAAGCTAAATAATTTTAATTTGTCTTAAATATTGGTTTCCAGAAACCATAACTAAACATAAAACAAGACTTTTGTCACAAAAGGCAAACAGAGCAGTACTACACTTTGTTACATAGTTTAAATTTTGTACCTACCTTTCTTATTTTGAATATTTCAATATTATAACTGTAATAAAAGTATTTCTTACAATATATAAAATTTTAAAAGGACCTATAAAGGCTGCAAATGCATAAACCAAGCTGGATTTTTACATACAATTTTAAAACCTGTGAATTAACATTCCAACTTAGGTTATCATTGGTTGTAATTCAGAATCAAGTATCTAGAAAGGACAAATGAAAGTAGAGCAAAATGTTCCGTAATTCAGGAAGGACCATTATCACAAAGAAAAATAGTTTTAATATTTTTTTCTCATGCTCAAATAAGAGAACTTATCATTTGGCTCCAATTAAAACAGCCACTAAATACAACAAAGACCATATTTTTCACCACCATCTTTTTTAGATTTTAAAGTTTCAATCTGCATTATTTCAATGAAAACTTCATCAAGTACTGCTTTTCAGGTTCAAGCAGAAAATAATTAGGTTACCCATTAAAGTAATCTTAACGGGTGCTGCAGCTGGAAACCCTCTGCACCTCGGGTGAGTCCCGACCAACTGTAACAAAGGCCAGTCTGGCCCTGCACACTCTGTGGAAACACAGCGCACATAAAGCATTACTTGTGAGCTACAGCGCCTATTCAGTTTTCCATGTTTAAAAGTAAGCCAATGAAACACTTCCAATACCATGATATATACTTTAGTGGTGACCAGAAATGAGTAACATAAAATTTGTCTTTTGCATATTCAGACATAGAGGAAGGACAGTTCTTTTGAATCTGAAAATTGAAATTTTCTTCCTTTAGAGAACTCAATCATAACCCATTCATGTACTCTTCTTAAAACACTTTATTCCATAAATATTACTGTATCATTTTTTCAACACTGAAAAATTATCAAAACTCATATTACTTCACGTGTCTATGTTTATAAAAACGTTATCCCTTAATTTTTATTGTAATACATAATTTGCATTTATTTTTGAATTGGACAAAGGTAAAAACAGGAAAAAATGTGTTCTTCTAAAGCCAACGGCTATCTGGTAAAATGTTATTTGTAAAACGCTCACATACGATTTACTGTTGCAACCACGAAGCTTCCCCTGCCCCTTGAAGAGCTGCTCACCCTTCCATCCTAGCTGTTCTCTGTCCAGTCCCTCACGTTCTTGCTTTTCATTATAGAAATCACTCAAACCAAACAATAAGAGCTTGAAATCATGAAAAAGGAAGAATGTCAGAATGGAAGGAGAAAATACCCTAGGACCAGAAGCAGAAGAGAGGCAAGTTTGTTATTTTAAATGAAGAAAACAAAACACAGTATAAAAGGATTCTGTCGCACGAGGGAACAAAAGCCACAATATGAAGCTAAAATATATTGGAAATAAACATCAGAGAAAAGTATTAGAAGACGCAGGAGGAAAAATGCTGCATCTTGAGAGAACACGGAGTGAAACCTGTTAAGACAGCAGACAAAGGCCGGCAGCTCTCAGGCAGGTGGGAATGACAAGAAGCAGCAGGGACCAGAGGACAGAAAGGCCAGGAGAGCTGTAAATCACTTATCTGGGTGGTGCATCTCTTTCACCCAATTGACTTTATTTCATTATTCATTATTTTAACCCTCAGCTGAGCACAGGCAGTTTATTTTGCTTCCTCTTCTGAAATCACGGAAAACCTCAGCCTGCATTTCCATCAGGCTGTGCCTATCACTTGGCACCATGGAGAACTTCTTTAAGGGGGAAAACAAACATACCTGCAGCTCCTGCCCTCCACAAACAGTGAGGGCTGCACCCTCCCATCACAGGAGCAGAGTTAATGCAGGCCACTCAACCAGGCTGAATCCTGAGAGGCCTGAGATTGCAGAGGCACTTGGGGAATGAAGGCAGGGCAGGGGGAGGAGGGGGGAGGAGGGGAGAGGAGTGAGGGCAAGGAAGACAAAGTAGGCAAATTGACATGGGCTACCCTCAACATGTGGACCCCTATGGAATGATGGCAACACACTTTCTTATTTTACAGTAATATCAAGTGAATGAAAGCAGGAAAACACCATTTTATTTAATGTACATGAAAAATATAGTGGATGCACAAAAAAAGGACACTTTGAGTTAATCTGCTTCTACTTGTGGCAGTGCAGATATTTTTTAAATGACTTTTTAGAGTCAACAGTAAGTGAACTACTTTGTTCCTAGCTAAAGGTTAACACATGACCTCGGACTGGAACACTCATTACCAGAGTTCAATCTGTATTTCAAAACAGTGACACACCTCACCTACAGCTGCAGGATGGCTTCCGGGCCCTTCAGGACTTGTTCCAATGTCCTTGGGCCGCTGACCTTACTTCTTTCCACCTGGCCCTTGGAAACACTGCATGCTTTGCTTCAGCCCACTCCAAACCTTCTCTCAGGTGCTGCAGAGGCTAAACAGTAGGCAAAGGCTGGGTGGTACTACCCAGAACCAGAGGAAAGACTGGGGACACCAATGATGAATGTGTTCTGCTCTAACTCTGATATGTCCCATCCTCTTGCCGCCCCACCTCCACCCTGGGGAATAGTCAGTTCTAAGTTTCACTCCTTGAAAGGAAGTTCTCCATGTTGGTCCAAGACTAGTTCATCTTCATGCTCCCTTTAAAACTGCAGCCCTGATTTCCTAGGAGGAAGAGCCAAAAGTGCGTTCTTCCTGAAAGTTTCAACACAACAGACTCTCATCGAGGAATAGTCAAGTGGAGAATTTCCATTCTTTTGGAAGGTAAAATCTGCAATCACTCTCTAGTCCCCCTGACTCTCAGAAGACACAATGGTGGGAACACAGCTATCACATATAAGGTCACTCCTCGATTAGGTTTTGGTAGTAAGATGCCTAGAAATCCATAAGTGTAATGGCTTTTCCTTTTTGCATGATATACTGTGCATTTAAGTAATCTTATTTTTTGTTTAAAAAATAATCATTGCAAACTTTTTTGGTAAAGTATGAGGCACACCACAATTCTTTTCTGTCTTTAGATACTTTATGCTCTCAACTGTCACTGTGCTATATTTTTAAAAAAATCAACATAAACTACCATAGCATGCTGAGGTATGGTCCCCAAATCTGTTTCAAAAGACTTTTCTATTACTGTTTAACTGAAGTGACATCTCTGACTCATTGTTTAAAAGAGGAAGGGTCAGGGTACCACTCTGCACATACAGAATGTCTAACTACAAATTGCCATGCTCCCAGGCCAGTTCTCTTTCCAACTATCTCAGAAGCTGCCCGGTATCCTTAAATGCACTTGGAGACTTTGGTATCACCTTCATTCTGGTGTACTTTGTGCAAGTTCTCAGACACTGCGATGCCCATACTAAGGCAACACATTACAGAAGTTGGCAGCAATACTATCAGCAGGAATGTGGCTGCAGAATTAAGAGTGATTCGTCATACATTCTAACAGCAGAAAAACAACTCCTCACTATTTTAATCCCTCTGTGCTACCAAGAACAAAAAAAAAAAAAAACCAGTAAAATATAACTAAGCAAAAGCAACAGAAAGCATATCTGCTGTAGAAAGCATATCTATCTGTAGAAATATTGTTCCCTTTCAAGAGTTTTCGGTAACTAACTCAGAAAATTACAGATCACTTACCTTATTTCAAAATATTTATTTCAGTGATGAATCAAGTTTTAACCTCACACTATTTCAGGAGAAAACAGACAGTTCTAACTTCTACAAAGTAACATTTTATTTCTAAATTTAGAAAAATAAATTCCTCATTTGCTTTACAGTAAAAATCCCTCCTAGCGTTTTGAAAGCAATCCACTTCTTTCCTGTCTCTCCATTCTCAGAAAACTCCAACCTGAGTGCAGGCAAGTGCTGGGCCACCGCCTCTGTCCCACCACAGAAGCCTGCAGGAGATGCACTTGGGAGGCTTTCAGGTTCAGAGGCACCTCGGCCCTGCTGGTCTAATAAGGACACCGCTGGGTCCTGTTGCTCTATTTAATGAGCACGAAACAGATCTGCACCAGCCACTCACGAGAACGTCGCATGTGATGCTCATTACGATTATCGACAATATTTCCATAGAATTATTCACAGAAATTACAGCTACGGCTTACTGGAAATGTAATAGAAACTTTTAAAGAATGCTATTCTAATTGTCGTGACCAGGTCCCGGGGCTTCGGGAAGCGGCGATTTATAGAGACCCTCTCCGGTCCTCTCTCAAGGATCCCTACCTTTTCAAACACCTCGTTTTTCTCCCTTCGCCGCCGTTTTCGGGGTCTGCGGTTCACTCGAATCCATTTTGTCACCTGAAGTTCAAGAACCACAGAACATTTTAAAGAGGTGGCCGGGTGCCGAGGGCCGCTGGCCGGCGGAAAGCGCTCCGCCGCGCTCGAGCCCGCAGGCCGCCAGGCGCAGGGCCCCCGGCCGCGACCTCCGCCCGCAGGCCGCACCCGCCACCCCGGCGCCCGGCTCCGCCCGCGCACTCACCTCGGCGCTCACCTGCCGCGCGAGCCCGCACTCCGCCCCGGCCTGGCTCTCGCTCTGCAGAGGCTGCGGGGAAAGGGACAGAGTCAAGTTCACCCCGGGGGCGGCCTCGCCTCCCTCCCCGAGCCCTGCCCACCCGGCGCGCAGCCTCGCACCTCGCCCGCGGCAGGTGAAGACGCAGGCGGCCGCGCCAGAACCCAGCCGCCCCGCGGGCCCAGAGCGCGGCGCGGGCCCGCAGTACCGAGCGCGCAGCGCAGCGCAGCGCGGGCTGCGCGGGCCCGGGGGGCGGGGGCGGGGGCGGGGAGACCTGCGGGAGGGGCGGTGCGGCGGCCTATACCTTTAAGGCAGGCCCCGCCCCGCGCCGCGCCCGCCCGCCCGCCGCCCGCGCCCGCCGGCCCCGCGCAGCCCGCGCTGCGCTGCGCTGCGCGCTCGGT